CCTAGTGCACGCCGAGGCCCTGCGCGCGCACGGAGCCTGCGCGGGCCTGCGGGCGGCGCGCGCACGTGACCCCGCCCTTCGGGGAGCGCGCGCGCTACGCGCCACAGGTCCTGAGAGACCGGTCTTGCTTGTCCGTGTGCTCCAGCTGCGGCGCTGTGCTCTCCACCCCATTAGTATCTCGGGTCCTCGTCGCCGTTGCCAGGTGGAGACGGCCGGACAGCGTGGACTTGGAGAGAGCCTGGAGACAGCCACCAAATATGCGCTACCAGCCTGTCCTCCACGGGTGCCGCAGTGCCACCTGCAAACAACTCGGGGAATGGCTGAAGTCAGGCCACCCCGCCCTTCCGACTTCTCCCGCCCCATCCCTTCTCTTCTGTGTCTGCACACTCAGTCTGCCCCAAGCCGGCTGGGCGAAGACAGGTGAAAGGGAGCCTGAAAGAGGGGCCCTGCAGGGGGGCTGACCGGTGTCGGGGGTCAGTGTTACGAGGAAGCCTTTGAGGAGCCAGAGGTCAAGCTCATTTCATACCTGAGGAGTGGCACCAGCCCGGAAGGCCACTCAGCTCTAAGGGACCACGCCCAGCTTCGCCGGCCGACTTGGAATTGTCCCTGTACTCCTCTTCTGCACCCTCCCCATGCTCGGTTTGTGGCGCGACCCGCCCAGCATCGCAGGGCACCAGGCCCGACTCTGCATCCTGTGCTTTTTAAGCTGTCCCCCACTCAACCTTTAAGCAAACATCCGCAAAGCACATGCTCCTGTCGGGTACCGGGGACACTTAGCTAGCTGTGGTTAATCAGTGTGGTCTTGGAGCTGGCCGTCCTGGGTCACAGCTTTGTGAATGATGACCTGGAGGGGGGTGTGGGAAGGCACCAGGGCACCCACCCGGAAGGGAGCCCATGTTAAGGCAGGCTTCCTGGAGGAGGCGACGGCAGGAGTGGTGGGGCAGGCCGGCCGGGCCTGAGGTGGCAGGAGCAGAGGTGTGCTGGGTTCCATGGTCCAAACAATGGTGCTGCGCTGCAGTACCGGCGAGAGGGTGGGCGTTGGCTTGGGGGACACAGGAAATTCAAGCTTTGGGTGCTCAGTGGCAGGGCACTGCAGGGATTTGTAATTGTGTGTCGTTCTTGAAGCACCTCTCTGCAATTTAAGAATCTTCAGAGCCACGAAACTTTGATCTGCTCTGACAGGTTTGCCTGTATTTGCACAAGGCCTAAATCCCATCCCGCCTCACAGCACTGGGGATTCTCTGAGGGGCCTGTGTCCCTGGCCCTGTGCATCTGTCCTCCATGGAGCATCTCTGGCTCCACGTCCTTGTGCTTGTCAGGAGAGCAACGTGGGCAGTGCTTTGGTTTCCGTAGCCAGGTTCTGACCATCACTCAGCTGCTATCTGAGCGCCATGCCCTGGTACAGGGGCTCCAACTATCCATTGTGCCCAGGAACTGAGGACTACCAGGCTGGGCAAAGCCTCAGAGCCAAGCAAGGAGGAGAAGCCCCTGCAGGCTGATGCTGCCCAGGCCTCTGGGCTTCTGGTCTCCATGTCCAGGAGCCTTCTTGTGCTCCGAGCAGAAGCTCCCTGCATGCACAGTCCTGCATCACTGTGGTGACCAGATAGCCCTGGGCAGGGGTTGCTTCCTTGGGACAAAGGCCGTGGGTCCATTCTGGGACTTTAGTCCTCTTGAGCCCATGCTGTGTCCTTGCTCTGATGCCTCCAAGGCCTCCCATTGTGGGGATGGCTCCCTGCTTCCCTGCTAAACCAGAAGGTGTAAGAAGAGTGGCTTCAGGGGCCAGGCTGAGGGATGCCTGCACAGCCATGGAGTCTCTCCCACCCTACTCTGTCTGCTCCTCCCATAGGAAAGATGTCCCTCCAAGGGGACACCAGGCTATCAACTCTTCCACCCACGCCCCACCCTGTCTTTCCCCAGACCCTAATGGCTTCCCCAGGCTGTGGGGACCCCAGATAGAGCACATTACCTGTGCACCCAGGGCCTGCTCTGGGAGGCCCTTGAGTGTGGGCTCGGCCAGTCCATGCCCAGGTGGGCCTACAGGTTCTGCTTTACCCAGGCCCCCAGCAGAACGCCAAGGGTGCCTTTCTGTGGCCAGGAGCTGGACAGAAGTTCTCATCTGCGGCAGCAGGTACCTTCAGCCTAGGCTTTCTAGAATAAGAATCCCTCTTCACATCTGCCTGCTGGTATCCCTGGAAGTCCACGGAACAGTTGCCTACACTGCCTTTATTGAAAACGACCTCAGGCATAGTTATGAAGGAGGTGTTGTGACTTCAGTGTGGGGCCAGGGGAACCTAGGCTGGGTCCATCCCAGAGGCTGGCTCTGTGGTCCTGAGACCCAGTCATCACAGTACCCAGGACCACTCTACCCCGCAGCAAGGGGGTCCTGGTGGCTGTGCACAGGGGGGCAAAGTGCAGCCTCAGGGGCGCCAGGCCACCAACAGAGACAGCAGCAGGATTTGAGGTACTTTGAGCAGGCCGCATGTCCTGGGCCAGGGCAAGCCCACCAGGTCCTGCCTTGGATACCCTTGTGTCTCCTGCTATTGTCATCCTGCTAGGTCACAGTGCGGTTGTGGGTGTGCAGCCCCATACAGCTGGTGGCCACCTCTCCACGCTCCTTGTCCTGCCAGGCCTCTCACAGAGGGAGGCAGGATGGGGCTGGTCTCCGTCTAAGGCTTAGACTGTGGCTCAGGCCCACTGTCAGTTCCTCAGCCTGTTGTTATTCTTGACTAGTGTAGAAAAGCGGATCAGCTTCAGGCTGGGCGGCAGGGGCTTCTGGTCATCCCAGAGGTATTCGGGAGACAGCACCTTAGACGGCTTGTGCGTGATGAGGCGGCGGTTCAGGTGGCTCTCTTCCTGCCAGGCTGCCATGACACCGTTGGCTTTGTCTGCCAGGATGGCCATGTGGCAGCCGCTGGTGAACTCATACATGTTGGCCACTCGCCCCCCGAAGACTGCCCCACCATAATAGAAGTCCCCCTCATTTTCAGCTACAAAGGCCGTGGAAATATGCCTGCGCTCGTAGGGGAACTGCTGGCGGGGTACAGTGAAGTAGCCTGGGTGAATGGCAGCCACCAGGTCCCCCAAGGTCTCAGGGCCCCACGGGTTGTGGAACACCATGTCCACGTCGAGGCAGAAGAGATAGTCCACCTCCTGGTGCGCTCTCTTGGCAATGTGCCGGCTGATGGTCTCCATGCGGCGCATGCTGATCTCCTCCCAGTGGGTGTAACCGTGGATGGGGATGATGTCGAGGAGCCGTTGGGGGCCCAGCAGGACCCTAGGAATGGCTGCGGGGTCGTTGGTGAAGACGTAGTAGCGCACCTGGTAGCCGTGCATGAAGAACTCCTCTGCCGACTCCAGGAAGTGCTGGACGAACTGGGTGTACCTGTGATGACAACCTCGTCATCCAGGCTACCCAGGAGAGCCCCTGCCTGGCCCCACTATGTGCTGGTCCTATGGAGCACAGGGGCAGGGGCGGCCGGGCTGAGGTCCACTTCCCAGCTCCCACCCTCAAGAAGTCACTCTGGGGTCCTTGCCTTTCAAATTCCCGTAATCCTAGCACAAGCTGAAATCACTCATCTGAAAATCCAACTTCAGATTCTGGGATTAGGGATGCTTAGCTGGTAAATTCTGCAGCTTTGCTTAACTTGAAAACTTCTGGTCCGAAGCACTTCAGATCTAGAGGCTGGTTAACCTGTGCTGGCCACCAAGGACTGCCGTAAGAATGGCCGCTGAGGGTGATTCTCTGTTTCTTTTCTGCAGTGTGAGGGAGGGAACCCGGGGCTGGCCTAGCACTGAGCTACAGGCCCAACCTTTCTGCTTTTATGTTGAGAGCGTCTGCCTAAGTTGGCCAGGTGGCCTTGGCCTTGTGATCCTCTGGCCCTGTAGCTGGGATCTCCGATGTGGACCAAGGGGCTCAGCCTGGTGATTCCCACACTGCCCCTTCCCGCCTCCTCCTGAGCATGGGGCGGTGTTACCACGGATGCTTAGGAGCTCTGGCTGTCATGAGTTACCTAGAAGTTCACCCCTTTCACAGGCAGAAAACTGAGGACCAAAAGGAAGAAAGTGGCCGACATGTAGGTGGCCGAGTCAAGGGAAGGCAGGTGCTGGGTGCTGGGGCTGTGGAGCAGAGTGCAGGGCACAGCCACACCCCTAGGACAAGGGGCCACCTGTCCCCGGCCCTGCTGCTCCTTACCTGGGCAGCTTCTGCCTCTGCTTCCATCCAGCGCAGGCCCCTTCTCCAGGGAACACTTTCCTTGTCACCCCTCATCTGCACCTCCCGTCTGTCAGCCCCATCCGAGCCCCTCTGTCCCTGGCCTGGGAGCTCCTGTGGCTCAAGTAGACCCAGCCCCCTACCCCCATCTAGCCCACCACTCACTTCCCCAAGGCAAACACCGTGACTCCGATGCTCAGGTTCAGCGGCTGGTAGATGTGCCTCAGCAGCTCTGGGTTGAAGGTTCCCTCGGAGACAATGGGAGCCAACCAGGGCGTGAGTGTCAGGAGCTCTGTGGGCCTGGGAGATGGGCGTGAGCGCGGGGGTGGGGTGGGGGGTGGGGGGAGCGCGCCTGTATGGCAGCCTGGGTCACACTGTGGGACCCTGCTACAGTGTCTCTGTCTCCCCATGTGGAAAGCCAGGGGATAGCAGCTATCCCCCAGTAGGGTTGGCAGGGCAAGGACTTGGTGCAGGGACCCCGAATGTCTATGGGAGTCTTGTGAGCTGAGGATGGGTGGGGTGGCGGTAAATGTGACATTATGTCTCATGGATGGTGACAGGCACAACTGAGGCCTGGAGCCCATGGCACCCCAACATGCCACCTGCTCTCCCAACCTCCTATGTGGTGCAGGAAAAAGCCAGAGCAGTTGGCTAACCTGCCCATGCTAGTGACAGGTGGAGCCCAGGTCCCTGGGCCTGTGAGCACCAAGGCCACCATGACTTTGGCACTGCCAGTGTTGTATGGCTCACAGCGCTGCTGGTCCCCTCCCCAGTCTCCAGCAGATCTTTGTGCGCCTCACCTGCGCTGCACCAGCCTGGGCTGAGGATACTGGGATCTGCAACCAAGAGGGAGCCACATGAGGGCAGGTGACCCTTCTCGGGGCCACAAAGGGGGAAGTGACAATGTGCTTACTGTGCCACGGGCTGCAGCGGCTTCTCCCTCTTGTACTGCAGCTTCATGTTGCTGGTGGCAGAGACAAGAAAGATCATTAGTGCCAGGCAGGAGGGACAGGGGCCAGGCAGATTCCCGCTTGGTCCCCGCTGGCTCGACTCAGTATCTGAGATGAGCTGGGTTTCTGCAGCCTGGTCTGTTTAGGACAGGATGGTGATCAGACCCTGTGCTGCTTGGCTCTGAGACGATAGCTGTTTCAGCTAGGTCACTTTGTAAGACCTGGGCACTGGCAGAAGGACTGGGAAATTTCAAAGGCCCAGGGATGGGGCAAGTGGATTAACTTTGGGGGCTCTGTGTTACCTAGGTTAGGGTGCAGTACCAGGTTTCTCAAACACAAGTCAGTCCCAGTGTGGTGCTGCCTGCCTGTCATCCCAGCACTCAGGAGGTTGAGGCAGGAGGATCAGCAGGAGTTCGAGGCCACCTGGGCTACACAGTGAGTTCAAGGTTGGCCTAAACTAGATGGCAAGACCCTGTCTCAAAACAAACAGACATTCAAACACAAGTCAAGGCCTTATTGTGGGGGCATCTATAGATGAGATTGGCATCCGGTGATGGTCTTAATTGATCTTATTTATATAAAGGAGACTGTCCCAGGAAACCTGGTGGGGGAATTAGTTAGAAGAGTTAAAGGGCAGGGCTGGGGTTTCTGTACAGAAAAAGAAATTTAGCCCTCGGGCTGTAGCGTCAGCTCCCAGCTATGACGTCCAGCCTGCCCTAGGCACTTTAGATCTGCCTGGCCAAACCTTTCAATCACGCAAGACAAATTCTCCTGATGTTTCTATGCTTATGGGTCTGCCTGCCTGTCTGTCAGTCTCTTACCAGCTCTATTTCTTTAGCATAACTCTGACTAAGATGCTCAGTTCTCCTCACCTGTAAAACAGGTAATCACCTTTAACCCCTGCATGGCTGGGAGAATAAAGGGACATGAGAAGGGGTCTCAGCCTGTGCCAGCACTTGGCATGTGTGTCGTGAGGCCAGATGTCCTAGCAGCTTCCCCGTGGCCAGTGTCTGCTCAGTTCAGCAAAAGCCAGAGAGAGCCCAGAGGAAGAAGGGGCACCTGCAAGGAGGTGGCGGGGCTGCAGGGTCAGAGCTGTGGGCTTGCTGCCGGCTTTATCTCCAGCTGGCCTAGGGACCGGGGACAGATGCCCGGCTGCACAAACTTTAGTTCCCTTGTCCACAAGCCCACCCATGTGGATGGTGCCTTCACACAGTCAGGAGGGACCCAGAGCAGGGACAGGCCTGCCCAGGGTTCTCCAGCGAGCATCACGGTGAAGCCGAGCTGGGCCGTCACCAGGTGGCCCCGAGGACCAGTTTCCTGATGACACTGTTGATGTCGGTTCCCTGTGGATTTCCAGTATTGGGGAGGCTCAGCATTCTTGGGTCCTCCCTCCTCCTTCAGTTGGTGAACTTTGGTGTGGTGCCACACCCCTGCCCTGGGAGTGCCCACCCTTCTGCTTCTGCCCTAGGAGCCCAAGAAAGGCAGGTGCCTCATGTAGGTGGGCCCATACCATGCCCTTTGGGGATTAGTCTCTACTCTCAAATGGGTAGAGATTTTTGGAAATCTCAGTTTTTTGAAATCAGTTTATCAAATTGGATACCTGCCCGCATTTCTTACAAACAGACCTATTTCAAGTCTTTTCTCATGAAGGGATGGAATTCTGAGAAGGTAGCTGGAAACAAAAAGGGGAAACTGCCCTTTGATGTCAGTAGCGGTCAAGCCATCCTCCCACCCTGCTCCTAAGACACGCTTCTTCTTCCCCACAAAGCCAGATGCACTCAGCTGCAATGAGGGAGCAGCCACACAGCAAACCGGGGCTGGGGGCGCAGCTCAGCATCGCAGCAGCGCCCTGCAAGCAGCGGCTCTGGACCCTTCCCAACAGACCCACGCACACCAGGGAACTTCAGATTTCTAAATCCCTGAAGCTAATAAAATGGAAAGTAAAAAGACAATCCAAAGGAAAAGAGATGACCTATTCAAATAAGTTTTCCACTTCAGGGTACTTAAAGAATAGCAACTTAGGTCCTACGAGATAGCTCAGCGGACTAAGTGCCTGCTTAGGCAAGTGCAGGGTCTGGGGTTCAATCCCTGGCACTGCATGCCGTGCGAACCCTGTTCCCAGGTGTGCTGAGCTAGCCAAGAGACTGGGCATGGGGGCGCACACCGCCTGTAATCCCAGTGCTAGGGAGGCTGAAAACGGGAGGATCACTGAGTCTGAGCTGGTAGTGAGACCCTGTTCCAAATACATTAAAGACAAAACCAAAGTATTATGTTAAAACCCAATGACATAAAAACTTGAATGGACAATAAAAGCGACAATAAAGAGCTGACAAGGAGAGAAAAAAGGCTGAATGAGTAGTTCTTCAAAGGGGAGATTCAGCTAATGGGAAGTCATGCAATGGCAGCTGGCCAGTAACTAGAAGGCAAAACTGCAAGCAAGCTGGGAGCCTGGGCGTGAGGCACACACCTGGAATCCCAGCCCTCCGGAGCCCGAGGCAGGAGGTCGCCACACAGCAAGACCCTGGCTTAAGAGAACAAACAGAAAACAACAGCAACAACAAAGACCTCAAACCAAAGCAGAAAGCCACACACACCCCAAAAGCAGAAGTAGTATTTCCTGTCTGTGGCAGCAGCAGGGTGGCTGGTTTTGTGGGACAGGGTCTTGCTAAGTAGCTCAGGCTGGCCTCGAACTTGTGGCGCTCCTTCTGCCTCAGTCTCCCCAGTGCCATGATTGCAGGTGCGCGCCTCTGCGTCCCGCTCAGCAGGGTGGCTTCAGTTTTGATTCTCCTAACCCTGGCTATAGCTAGGATGACCTCCGGTGGGACGTGGCGGTTGTCTCGGTGGGCCTGCGCAGGCCGGGTGTGTGCGTAAGGGTGCGTGTTTGAGGTGCTGTGCCCTGGAGAAGTGTCTCATGAGGTGGACCAAGTGCCCGTCCACATCCTCTGGCCCAGCGAGTCCCATCCTCTGAAATGCTCGCTACAGTAGAGAAGGGGCGGTGGCCAGAGCCGCTCAGCACAGATGGAGGTAGAACACAGAGCCATTGGAAACCAGCTTAAAATTCAACAGCTACTGAGAGACAAAGGTCCCAGCCCCCCTCCGGGGTGGGGGGAGTGAGGTGAGGGTGACCACGCTGAGGAACAGCCCGTTCTGGTAAGAAGATCAGATGTGCCAAAACAGAAGGGTTGGGGCTGGTGAGATGGCTCAGTGGTCTACAGCACCTACTTGGAACAAGCTTAGCAATGCACAGGACTGCGGTTCAATCCCCCAGCACCACATGGCAGCCAGCCCCATCCCCTGGTGGGCTGAGCTGCCCCCCCCCACATAAATAAATAAAAATTAAAAAAAAAAACAAAACAGAAGGGTCACAGCTATTTTCAATACTGAGCAGCACGACTGCTTTTAGAACTCTGCTGTGCAGAGTGAACTGAATTACGGGGACAGCAGACCTGCAGCAATGAGTGAGAGGCCAGGGCACATGCGAGTGAGACCCGGGAGGTCTTTGATTTTCTTTCCTGTCTTCCAGCTTCCTAAATGCGATGGTTTGAGTAACAGTTTGTTCCCTTCCAAAAGTTGGGATGGACTTAAATCCTACTGCGAGGTAGCAAGAAGGTGGAAACTTAATATGATTGTGTTTAATTTTTTTTTGAGGACCACTCCTGAATTTAGGATTATAGCGTGTGGGCCACCAAGTCCTGTTTTGAGGTGGAGCCCTTCTGAGTGATTAGGACTCGATCCAGTCACCAGGGAGGAGCACCCAGGGTTGAAGCCTGGTGGCTCTGTATGAAGCGGAACAGCGCAGAAGACACACACATGCGCCTGTGGCCTCTCGCCACGTGCTCCGCTTCTAGAGCGTGCCACACGAAAGCCACCGTCAGATGCTGCCCCTTGATCCTGGGCCCGAACTGTAAGTCCAATTAAAGCTTTATAGTGTACCCAGGCTTTCTGTGTTATTAGCAACAGGAACCAGACTAAACTAAACTGATTTACTCTGTCTATAAAAATAAAACGAGCCATGTTCATTAGCAGTCTCACAGCCATGCAGATGTCCCACTGCCATGCAGCTGTCCCCAGAAACAAGGCCATGCTGGGCAGTGCCCCTCTGAGGTGGCCTCAATCCAGTTTTTCAGGCCTAGCCATCAAAAAGTCAGGTTTTCCTTTCGTGGGCAGGGTTTTAGTCTAATGCTGATTTGTTCCCCAGCTTCACATAGGACACAAGATTAAGTCCCAAAGTCCAGACCTAATGAAGCAGTTTGCCAAGCACCCTCATGCACTGGGACAATACCAGGCCAGGGATTGGCACTGCCAGACTCTGTGGCCCAGGAGGGCCCCTCGACCTGCCACTTTGCAGATGTGACAAGGGAGACCCAGGGCTGTAGAGTGGGTCCAAGCCCAACCATGAGGGGGCTGCGGGGATTCTCCGAGACTGACATGGCTACTTTATACCACATTTGGGGCCGCCCCTGCACTACCTAAGCACCACCATTCATCAGAACTGTACTCTTTGGATCCAGAAACCTGTGGACAATGTGATCCTAAAATCTCCACTGGGGCCGGGGAGATGGCTCAGTGGAATAAGCACTTCCCTGGCAAGCACGAGGGCCTGAGTTCAATCCCCAGTTCCGCAAAAAAAAAAAAAAAAAAAAAAATCTCCACTGATTTGAAATGGAAGCCCCCACAGGGACCCCGACTGCCCTGGTCTCATACTCACAAGATCTCTGGACAGGGGAGGTAGTAGGGCACGTGGGAGACCAGCTGCCAGTTCTCGACGTACTGCCTGGGGAGGAAACACAGCTGTGGACTCTTTTCTGTTCCGGGGCTGACACCCACATGGTGCGCATTACTGGGAGTGGACACCCACAGTGGTGTATTTGGGGGATCTTCATTCTAGGGTCTGGCTACCCTAAAAGAACTGAGCCTCCTGCATATGGCATAGGTCCTGGCAGGGAGCCAACCGTTCACCCACTCCATCAATCAGTCTTAGGGCACGTATGACCTCGATGCCAGGCCCCGTACACAAATGGTAAGGTAAGACACAGCTCTAAGAGCTTCCCAGAAGGGCACAATGAATGAATTTGGGGTTGGGGATGGGAGTTCTACATCAGTGTGGTTTGAAGAATAATCTTGGAAGAGGAAATTACAAATCAAAGGTCAGGAGGCTGGTACAAAGCACAATTCAGAAGATAAGCCTAGTTAATGGGGCTGGGCCAGGATAGGTTGGTGGGGCCTTGAAATCCTGCAAGCAGGCACAGGGTCAGGGGGTTCGATCTCCGGGCCTTCTGTGCTGGCCCTGCCCACGGGGCATGCAGAGACAGCAACTGAGACTGGGTGTAGTGGCATGCGCCTGTAATCCCAGCTCTTGGAAGGCTGTAAACAGGCAGATCACTACAAGTCTGATCTAGCAGTGAGACCCTGAACACCCTGTAGACCCTTCCCTAAAATACAAAAAAGAAAGAAAGAAAGAAAGAAAGAAAGAAAGAAAGAAAGAAAGAAAGAAACCTGTAGGGGCGGGGATCAAGGACTTGGGGCTGACATACAGGGGCAGGGAGGGTGCTGGGGTGGGCAGGACCGAGGGATGGGTGGGGAACTCACCATAAGGCCCAGAGGCCTGTGCTGGCCAGCAGGCACAAGCCCAGGCCCAGGGCCAGTCTCCAGCGGGGCATCGCTGGAAGTTGCTTCCGAGCTGAGTACCAGCAGAGATGCTCTGGGGCCGAGCCCAGTGAGTCCTCCGCGGACTGTCAGCCTCCACGCCTGCCTCTCCCACCTCTCCCAACACCTGCAAAAGAACTGTTACTCCACCACGGTTGGTACCCGCACTGCAGCCCTAGGTCCCTGGATCAACTCGGGAATGAAGACGCCCGGCTCAGCTGAGGGCATCTTGCTTCCCCTCGGAGGCCAAAGGCTCCTTTTGAGCTGGGGATTCCCAGGGTGGTTCCTAGCATGGACAAACAGAATTAAGCCCGGCCCATTGCAGCTGGAAGGAAGCTGGTCAGTTCCTGATCCCCCAGGGGAAGGAACAGCCCGGATTCCTACTGGGGCAGCCCAGCACGCCTCCGAGGCCTGGGATTGATTCCATGGCGATTGTGGGAAGTAACACGTTGCTCAGTAATCTTGGGCAAATGACCCCACCTGGCCTCGGGGGTGAGACTCACGCGGAGCTCTGGCGGCCCTAGGCGCCTGGCACTGCCCGGCGGGCGAGGCGGGCGAGCGCAGGGTTCCGGCAGGGGCAGCCCTGCCGCGAGGGCGGAGAAGGACGGAGGGTCAGGGTCAGGTCCTGCTCTCTCCTCCCGCAGCCTCCGTTTTTCCCAGCCGGGCCTGGAGCGCAGCGCCCGAGTCCCCAGCCCCGACCGCCCCAATGCAGAGCCCAAGCCCCGAAGGCTGGGACCCGCCGCGCCCCTCTACCTGGCGTGTGCGCGCCGCCCTGCGGGCTGGGAGAACCGCGGGGTGCGGAGCTGGGCGGAGCGTAGGCGGAATGTTCCGACCGACGCGACTTGGGGCGGGGAAAGTTTACTTCGCTTGGAAGAATGTCTGCGCGGGGACGCGAGTGGAGGACCAGCGAGGACCCCCCGTTGGGCTGAGGGCTGATTTTCCTTCTGCATCGTCTCGCTAGGGGGTTACCAGCCAGTCACCCCCAGAAATTCCCGGAGCCTGTGATCCTGCTGTGCACGCGCAGCTGGTGGGGAAAGGGCTGTGCCGTTGACTCCTAACATCTGGCCTGTGACTGCAAGCCGACGGGTGCGCGGCTGGGGGGGGCCTCAAGTAGGCAGGTGCACCGGGCAGTCAGGCCCGGGAGGGGCCCTGAGGGTACACAGGGGAGGGTCGGGGAGAGGCCAGCCAGGGCCGGCAGGGAGGACAGAAGGACACACCTCGGTGCACTGCGAGAAGCTGTGGGTGTGCTCAGCGTAGCAGCACTCCCGGGAGGCACAAGTCAGATTTGCTGGCACCAGGGCGCAGCCTGCTAGGTGGCTCAGGATGTGGCCACCTGTGCCCCTGGCTCCCTTGAGGACTATACCTTTTCAGTAGGGCGGGGCCCTGATGTGGCAACTCCTGGTTCATTTTTCTCCCTGGGTTTTGGGGACCTGGCAGCTTTTCTTTAAGAGGTGCCAGACAGTGCACGCCTGGCCCCTGGCCGCTGGCCTAACGGCTAAAGCCTTCTCCTGGCACGTGGTGCGTTCTCAGAGAAAAGGCGAGCGAGGACGAGAGAAGCCCCGCGACTTGAAAATGTAGCAACCAACAGCCGGCGACCAAAGCACAGGAGGCCAGGTGGACATTTGAGCGAAGAACGGTGCTGCCCGGATGCCCATCAGCTGAGGGGTGGATAAAAAGACGTGCTGTTTTCATACACTGGAGAACTACTGGGTGACGAAGAAAGATAGCCTGAGGCTTCTGCAGGAAATGGGTGCGCTAGAGGCCACCCTCGCAAGTGAATGAACTCAGACCCGCACAAGCCAACTTGTCTCCCCAGTGTAAGAAAGGGAATGAGTAAATGCAATCCGAAAGGAACAATAGATACCGTGAAAGGACTGCAACGGCTCAAAAGGAAAGAACAACTGGGATGGGGGAAAGGAGAAGAGAAAGAAGGAAGGAAGGAAGGGAAAATAAACGTACACAAGACAGCTAAGACACTTGTACTCCTAATTTCTATTGGTTTATTGAAAGGACAGCCATTGGTAATCTCCTATCATCTTGTTTTGTAATCCTGTACCATTTTATTGTTATTTAAAATTTTTCTTTAAAAAGTAATAAAGGGGGGCCAGGAGATGGCTCAGTAGGATAAGTGCTTGACTGGCAAACGTCAAGGATCTGAGTTCAATCCCCGGTTGGTCCAGGGGAACCATGGGGAGACATTTCTGTCCTCCTTACTGCTTCTGTCTTTCTGCCTATGTAGGCACATGCCTGCGTGAGTGTGTGTGTGTGTGTGTGTGTGTGTGTAGGAACATGTTTGTGTGTGCCTTTGTAAAACCTCTTACTCAGTTTTTAACTTTTAAAATTAATTAATTAATTGATACAGGGTCTTGCTACACAGCTCAACTTGTAGTGATCCTCCTGTCTCAGCTTCCCCAGCGCTGGGGTTACAGGAGCTTGCCACCTTGCCTGGTTTTGGTGGCTTGCATGGTGGCACAGCATGTGGTATTGGAGATTGAACCCTGGTGGCCCTTGCACTTGCCAGGCAGGTGCATAGACTGCCCAGCTACCTCCCCAGCCCCTTAACTTCTTTTGAGGAGCAGGCAGAGCACCAGAGAGAAGGCCAGACCAAGGCTCCTATTTCCGCTTGGGGGGTGCAGTGCTTTCCCACTGTTAGGCGGTGAGCTCCCCAGGCAGGGAGCAGTGCTGTGTTCCAGGAGCCTGCACTGGTCAGGGAGCCGCATAGGCCCAGCTGTGTGCGTGCATGACTGAATAAATGAGCAAGTCCAAGACTTCTTTGCTCCTCTGACTTCCCCTATACAAGGAACAGCCCCCCGGGGTTGTTGGGATGATCACTTGGATCCCTTCATCCATTTATTCAGTAAGGAGGGAGTGCCTACTGTGTGCCAGGCTCTGCTACGGAGATGTGGGAGTGCCACGGCGAATGCGCAAGGGCCCCCAGCAGAAACAGCTGACCCCTGCCCCTGGGGGGCTTGATACGGGAGTGTGAGTCACAGTTTCCCGACGGGCAGGTCCTACATGACCTCAAGTCCAGCAGCCCGGAGCCAACCAGCCAACCAGAGGACGGCTGTGGTGGGCAGTTGTAGGTCCTGTGGCTCCGTGGGTTTGGAAAGGCCAGCCCCAGAATCCTGTGTTAAAAGCCTGCTCCTCAGTGTGACACTATCGGGAGGTGGTGGAAACATGAAGAGGTGGCCCTAGGGGAGGTCTTCTGGTCACTGGGGTTGTGCCACCGAAAGGAGCTGTGGGACCACAGTTCCTCATCCTCCTTCTATCTGTTTTGCATCTGTCCATGGGAGAGCAGGCTTTCTCTGCCACAAGGCTCCTGTCACAGTGTGCTGCCTGGCCACAGGTCCAAAGCAAAGGGGCTACTCGACCATGGGTTGAGACCCCCTGAAGTATGACCCCCAAATAAACCTTTCCTCTTTATAAGTTGATTATCTTAGGTCTTTGTTACAGCAACGGCAAACTGACTGAGACACTTGGTATGAATAGTCATGTTGCCCAAGATCCCTATACGTCGGTCGTCTTCTTGTTTGCAGCTTTGCATTTATAGAACGGACCCACGAGGAGATGCCTCCCTGGGTTCCATAATGGAATTGATCTTGGCCCCCTGAGTTGGCAACCTTGGAGAGCTGGGACTTGGGTTCATGGGTATGCCACTGGACAGGACTTTTTGCATACAGGTAGCAGCCTGGTTTATACCACATTGTCTCCCTAGTGTAAGAACCCAAAGAAGAAACAAAATTAGTGATTGTTTAAGCCAACTAAGAAGCTAGAGGCTTATTTCCATTATCTTCTGGCTATCAGTTCCGTGATCTCTGGCAAGCATTCTATGTTTGTGGTTTTATCAGCATTTCATGATGCTTGTTGGAAAACCGCAAGGGCAGAGAACCAACTTCTTGCTGGCTATGAAGGAGAATAGTTTCCTGCGTCCTGGGCTAACTTTGGTGCCTTGTCTTCTCCCACATTAGGGTGTCTCTTCCTGTCTCAGAGGGCCCTGGTACTGGGCTATGTCCTTTCAGGAGCTGGCTAAGCTCAGCCCTCTAGGTAGTAGCTGGGAACCCTCGAGGGCAAGCCCGGCTCCCCACCACGCCCAGGCTCCACACAAGTGGCTCCCAGCTGGGACCGCCCTCTGAGGTGCCTGCACATGAACACCTGTGGCCTTCCTAGCACTTAGGACTCTAGGGTCGTGTGAGTCTGGGCCCCTTGGGGGAGCAGGGGTGCAGGGCCCTGGGTTTTCATCTCTAGTGGGAGAGAAGAGCACACAGAGTTGTTCCCAGCCACAGGGCTGGGGTACAGCGGGCTGGCAGGGGGGAGGGGCCCTGCAGCTCCCGTGAGGACTTCACTTCCCTTACGACCAGGGACATTCCTGTTTGGAGCAAGACCAGCGTCCTCCTGGGTGACAAGCAGTTGTCTCTGAAAATCCCAGGTGAGACCCAGAATTGATTTTTACCACCAGTGGAGGGCAGGGGTGACAGGCCTTGAGTTCTAGTCCATGTGCGTAGGGTTTTAAAAGTCTGCTTTGCAGAATGGTGCTGGATACAGCTGTGAGAAACAGGCAAAGCCTGTGCTTTCGAAGCACAAGCCCAAAGCAAGTTGGGCTTAAATGACCTGGTCATTATTCACTGTCCCCAACCCCGCTAATATCCTGGCGACTATGAACGTTTTCCAGAACACAGCTGGCTTCCAAGATCAAGAACCGAGGACTTTCTGTTCCAGAGCACATTCCTGTCTAATTTACTCAGCAGGGTGACAACCCTGCTTGCCCCCTTGTGCTACTCCTGTTAGTCAGCCCAATGGATTGTAAACCTTTGAGTTCTGCCAATGAATTTGTTTATTTATTGAGTCTGATGTATTTTGTGCAGCATCTCACTATGCAGCTCAGACTCATGGGGATCCTCCTGTTTTCAGGCGGATCTCCAGCACTGGGATTACAGGAATGTGTCACCTTGCCCGTTCTCAGCATGCTTGGGGGTGGGGCCAGCATGGCATGTGGTGCCGGGGATTGAACCCTGGTCTCTGCACTTGTTAGGCAGATGCTTAGTCAACTGAGCTGTCTCTCTGGCCCTTCTGCCAGTGAATTTAAAGGTCAGTAGCATGGTCAGCTGTATCTCCTGCCTTGGGGCAGCCCTCCTTCATCCTGCCTCGCATGGTTTGGCAGAAGTAAAGTATCTTGTCAAGATTTCTTAATGTCTAAATGCTTTATTCTGTGCACTGACAATTTGAGTCTGACGGTGTATTTCTAACAGTTTCTCTGCTCTGAGCAGAGGCCATAGTTGTCTTCAGTGCTGGTTGGGCTGTGGCTCTTTGAGGTCTGGTAGGGTGGAGGTGGGGCCCCTGAAATGCACATGGAGTGAGCAGTTTCATCCCAGCTATACCCCAAGTCGCTCCAGTCTGTTTCAACCCACTGGGCTTCTGCGACAAGTATCAGAACACTGCCACTGTCCCCCAAAAGAGGGAGCCCAACCCCTCTGGGTTTCTGCACCCTGTTCCTCTTTGGGCTGGTTGTTCAGGATGCCCAGTAGGTTCTTAATGCCTGCCTGGCCCACCAGAAGCCCGCAGGACCCAGGAGTCAGTCATGGACTCCCGGGACAATGCTCATTGGCACCACATGCCCAGCTGGGGGCAAGCGGTGTGCCCTGTACTGGGCTGGCAAAGTCAGGCTCTCGGAGGGGAGGAGGGCCCCCACAGGCTGGGACTTGAGCCCTTGATACCTGGGAGGGGAGATTCCTGCCTGCGCTGGGCAAAGCTTAGAGCTGGAACCTGGCGCTGGCCTGAGAAGGGTGCAGCGTGCTCACCAAGGAAGTGGGACAGTGAGTTTGATCACACCCATGTGGAGGAACTGGCTGAGGAGTGAATGATTAAACCGTGGGGCAAAGGCACACAGGCTCTGCGAGAAGAGCACATTAAATGACAGGAAGCTTAGAGGAGGGAGGCATGTGGTGACTGGCCACTGGCCTTCTTCTTCCCCAAGCAAAACTGCGGAGCCTTGAGAC